TTTTTTTTTTTTTTTTTCCCTACACTGAGAAAAACATGGAATGAAGTAGAAAAAGTTGATTCCTTTTCTTAGTTTGTCTTTTGTAGGAAGATCAATATTTCAGCCTTGAAAAATGAGCTAACTAATCCTGATTTTCATCTCTGATCCATGTATAAATCCTGGTTTTACAGTTAGTGTGACAATCTTTGCATTTTTTCTTTTCGACACCCTTAGATTAAAATTTACAAGAAACTTAATTTAGTTCAGATCCAGGGGATAGGTGCTGATTTTTGTTCATGCTTAGCTCAATGTTGTTTGATGACAGTTTTTGTGGTTGACACAGTATTGGTGCACAAAGAGTTAAAAATGCCTGCATAGCTTTCCGCAACTTCTGCGAGGAACAGAACACTGAAGGGTGAGTTACTTTACACTAAACATTCATAGACAGTGTAATTTTTGCCTTAATCAGCTTTCAAAAGGTGAGAGAGAGGTCATGATCCATGAAATCTGAGAGACTCTTGTTATCAGGTGCATTAGATGTGTTCAACAAGTAAAGCAAGAGTACTACCTTGTGAAGAACAAGCTTGAAACTCTCTTTGCGGTGAGTAGAATCGTATAGACGCTTGCTGTTGCTGATTTGTGTCGAACTTAAAATTTCTCTGTTTATTTATTTCAAATTTATATTGTTGATTGCAGATGGAGCAACAAATTGTGGCAGCTGGTGGGTCAATTCCAATTCTGGAATTAAGTTTTTAAGGCTTCCATTGTGAAAAGAAAACAAGAAAGTTGGGGTGGTTGTAGAGAATCTCTTCACTAGTATTGTATAACAACCTCTCTTAATTGATTGAAAATTCTCGTAACTAATGAATTTGTGCTTGTATGAACTTTATGAAAAGGAGTTCTTCCATCTGGTGCCACTTCTTAATGAACTTTATTTAGGCTCAAATAACCTTGTTATTTATGAAAATGAGTTTTTTATCTGTTGCTAGCTTGTGATATGCACTTCATTGCGTACTTACTATATCACATTCCAGTCTTGGGTTGTTTCAGATGAAAAGAAAAAAGAAAGGGATTGAATGTGACTGAAACTGCACAATCGATCGTGAGTTTTTATTTGGGATTAGGAAACTGAAATCCACAGCCTGCAGTTTTTATTTTGTGAAACCTTGCAATGACTCAAGTAGCTTGTTTTGGTTGTTCTTGTTGGTATTATTCTAGTAAGAGAATTTCATGCCTACCATCCTATCAATCCTTAGTTGTCATCTGTGCTAGCAGAGCTTAATTAAATAAAGGTAAATCATGTATACTCTCGTTTAGTTTAACAAATCCATATTAAAAATAATATGAATAGATTAGAAAGATTTGATTCCTTGAAGCCTTAGTGGTCAATCTTGATCTGCTTTGCTGTCCATCTGTCTTGCTGCTAAAACATTGACACAAACGTGGGTACTTATT